TAATCACTTATTAATTATAGTATTACATTTAATTATTACTTAATTAGTTTATAATTATAAATATCACATTATAAACTTAGTAATTTACTACATTATTATTTATTACATTACTTAATTAAAGGATTAAAATTTCAATTAATTATAATATAACATTAAAGTTCTATATCGGATTACTTAATTCACTATAACATTACATTATAGTATGATCACTAATTTATTATAACATTACATAATTAAATGATTACTTAATTGATTATGAGTTATGATATGTTTTAAACATGTAATTACTATTTACTACATACATTAGCACAATACTAATTAAATGATTAGAAATTTAATTAATTATAACATTACCTTATAACATTTCATTATAACATTAATTAAGTTATACATTATAGTTAAATAATTACTCAATTAACTTATAACATTATTATATTACATTATATATGATCACTTACTTAATTATAACATTACTAGTTAAATGATTACATAATTGTTATGAATTTATACATTACATTATAAACATTAGTAATTTACTATATTATTACATTATTTAATTAAACGATTAAAAATTTAATTAATTATAACATTACCTTATATTTATAATATGATACTTAATCAATTATAACTTTTCATTATAAACATTAGTATATTAATTAAATGATTTGAAATTTAATTAATTATAATATTAATTATAGATTTATAGTATGATTACTTAATTCATTATACCATTACATTTACTATTATAGTATGATCATATATATATATCATTACATAATTAAATAATTACTTAATTGATTATGACATATATTATAAACATTAGTAATTACTAATTTACACAATACTTAATTAAATGATTAGAATTTTATTATTATAACATACATTATAAATTTTGGTATGATTACTTAATTAATTATAACATTCTATTATAAACAATATTACAATACTTATTAATGATTAACAATTTAATAAATTATAATATAACATTATATTAAACCCTAAACCCAAATAGTATATTTGTTAGGGTGTATTTGTAAACTTTTAAGATATGTTTGTCATTTTTTAAACTAATAGGGGGTAATTGACTTTTTATAGGATACCCTGGAAGGAACTAGAACCTGTATTTTAGGTTTCGTTCCTTGAATTGAAGAATCTATACTGTGCGGTTTCAGTTCTGATTCTTCTCCGAAAAATAGAGGGTATCTGGAACCGCTCACCCCTACTATTCCGATAAACTATTGCTGGGGTGTATTTATTGAAGTATTCATTTAAATAGCTAGGTTGACAGTTGTAATTAAAGTCAGTTTGAGGTTAGTTGTTTATTTACTTTAGTTTAGTTAGAACCGTAACTAATTAGTTGTAAGTAACTGTGGTTAGTGAACTAAGCTTTACTTTACTCTCTTTACTCTTCACAAGTTTCTACTCTTTACTTTGTAACAGTATTAATTGCATATCACATAGTATGCAACAGATGGACCGCCAAAGATTGAATGTAAAGCAACCATGACGCGCTGCTCTATATAAAGACCATTTGATTTGAGCTACTTGTCCCATAATGCATTTTTTGTTTGATGTATTATTCTTATACTTGACATTGTTTGCCGCGCGAAAATTACTATGAAATATCACTTTTGATTTAAACTGTGCATGTCTTTTATCGTGTTAATTGGATGAATTTTAAATGAAAATCAATAGAATGTTTAGGTCCGATGATATGAAAATCTATTATTAATTCTACGCTAGTTGTCACAACCTCTATTCTTCCTTCGTATTGTTTCAAATATTCATATTATTATCAACACAAAGCTCCCAATGCCTCAGAAATATCATCAAAAATCAAGACAACATTGAAATAAGGAGATTCATATAATCCAATTAATCACATCAACCCATTAATTAGAGAGTAATTAAGATGGCACTCTTGCATATAACTTAATCATGCATATATCCATAAACAAGTTCTCAGCTTCTGAAGGTGGGCAAGCAGAAACAACATTCTTAATTTTTAATTAATCTTTTGTTGACAAATATTTAGAATTGCGTGCCAAACTATATGAACCCACGATAACTTATACGAGTACAATTTAGCAGCTTTTAATTTACTATTAATTTTTTATATATATATAAAAAAATCTTAATTGTTTTACACCTTCCCCACCTGAAAACTTGCAATTATATAGAAATAAACATTATTAGTTACTTGTTAAATTAGTTGCGTATATGCAGTGGGAGGACAAGTGCAGATTCTGTAGGTAAACCTACAGTTTGACCATGAATTATTATATTTAACGATCCATGTTGAATAATTATTTTATTGTAAATCAATTGAGAATGATTGATTTGTTTCGATTTTAATTATCTGCCGCTTGCTATTTAATTTGTGGAAGATAAGGTGAGCTTTAGCAATCATGCAAGTCAATGCCAAATAAACCCTAATAAATATAGATTTTGTATAATTAATGCCTCCATTAATGAATGGTTGGGAAGCTTAGAGATTGAAGATTTCCCTTTTAGGATTACATTATATATTAGACAATAGTTATGGTCAACCAAACCTCAGGCTCCTCCAGAATTATAACATGAACTAATTCATCAATTAATCAAACCAAAGTCATATAAAGATTTAAACCTCCATCGATCTTATATTTTTTTATAATCTTAACTCGTGAAGTACTTCAGAGGGGATTCAAATTCATGTTTTCTAAGTTACTTTAATTTAAAATTAGCCTCCAATTAATACAACTCGAATTTTAATATATCTGAATTAAGGTTTAAAAGTATGGATGATATGCACTGTAACATATATAAACAAACTTTTAGTATAAAGTAATGACGAAAGCAGCATTATACAATTGTTTACTAATAAAACCTAATCTAAAAAGACGTATACATTAAAATAATTAAAGAAGATAATAAGGTCATCTTCTACCCTATAATATTTATAACCTAATTGCTAATGCACGCGATTTGTAAAGGGCGCCTGATAAAGACGGATATTATTGCCACCCTTTTCCAAAACCTAATTTATATTAATTCCTCTTAATGGACCCAAAAGTAGATTAATATAAAGCAATGATAAATAAATAATTAATTAAAAAGATTCACTAACAGATCATCGTCGACAATGAAGATTAAAGTAATAAAGTTTTGAGATTACAGTAGCTTGTTGTCCACGTTCATTCTTCTATTAAAGAGATTATGCAAAAATTTAAAACCCAGTTTTTGTCTTGTGATAAGAGAGATTACTAATCTTTGCCCCTAGCAATGCATGGCATGCCTCTGCAAATTTTAAGTTTTGGTGGAGTGGACAATATAATATCTAAATTTTGAAAATAAGTAAAAGTCCACATCAAAAAATGAAGATATCTATCATTTTGATTGTTGTTATCTCTAAGCCTATAGAAATAACCCTTAATTTATTTCCATTAAATAAAGCTGTCGTAGTAGCTATGCTGGTAAATTTCCAGAGGGAGACGGGAATGCGTATTTGTGTTTGGTATGGATTATTTGACATTGCTAAATTAAAAAAAGAAAAACGTTGTGTTTCATACACTCAACTACACAAGTCAAACAGATATTGTAACAAAATTCTCAAAGTTAGAAAGATGCAGAATGCATGCTATCAAACATATTAACACGTTGTTGTCATCTTGTAGTGGAGTTCTTATCTCTGTATTGGGTGAAGAATCTTGATGAAGACTTATTTGTAGGATGAATATTAACTTCTTGTTTTGGGATCGTCCGTTTGCCATATAAAATTGTATTGATCTCATATCATGCATTATTATCGTTTGTTATTTTTAAATTGCCTATATATCACTACTACTCCGATATATTCATGGGTATATTTATTATATATCTTCAATTATCAATGAAATTACCTAAACATTTCTTTTCTTGTGCCTTGTAACTGTAATCGGTGAGTACTGCTGTTGTATGCGTCTCCAGTAAGGTATTGTCTACTTTGGGACACAGGCTAGACTGCTAGCAAGTCCGCACAATTTTATCCTAAAAAGATGCATTTGAGTGATAAGGGTGTCATTATACTATATAAACAACTAAAACCCTTGTTTCTTAACTGATGTGGGAGTTTGACTTCAACAATTACAACTGCAATAAGATATATATTCACAAATGAGTGCTCTTCTATAAAACTTTTTTTTTTTCTTTTATCTAATAAATTTTTATTTTTATTTAATATAATTCATTGTATATGCTAATAGTGGTATAGAAAAAAAAGGTTCAACTTGTACATTGTTTTTTCTCTAGCTACTATATTTTTTTTTTTTTCTGGTAGCTATGTGCATATATAAAAAAAATATTTATATGCCGAAAGCCATACAATTTGCATAAATGCTACATTTTTTTCCTCTTATAATTATATTTAAAAAGAAATTTATAGTTTTAAATTAGATCAAAAGCATGCAAGTATTTTATCATATAAAATGCAACCGAAAAATTTATCCACTAATTACCGAGTCTAGTTTCTCCTTTCTCTCCATTCATCTGTCTTTTCTCCATTAGAATAATCTCTCACAACCACTTCATATAAATGAAAAAGCTTTATATAAATATATTTCACCAACTTTTCTCTCTCTTCCACAACAAATTTCCTTCAATTAATACCCGTTAGGAAAAGCCAATCTTCTTTGTTTTTATTTATATTCTAATCTTTATATTATATATCTCTCCTTGTCTCTTCTACATTATAATACTCTTCTGCACAACCACTTCATTTAAATCGAGAGCAACAACCCACTTCATCTTCTTTCTCTCCACCATTTTGTTTCTATCTTGTATTTTTATGCTACATTATACATGCATTTCCCCATATTATATATATATTAATCAAAGAAAAGAAATTGTTCATGTTCAATCCTTTCATCATTTATTTCTCTATAGATCTCCATCCTTTGACATTGTTCAAGAGCCGTTAATTAGAAGATCAGGAGACAGTATGATTATGTATATATACCTCAAACTTTTTCATGGTTATCCTATTAAATAAGATCTTGAAGCAAGTAGAAGCCTCATTTCATCCACATAATTAAAATTGATATACATTTACAAGATAAACATAAAGATATTCAAATTAAAGCAGAAAAAAAAAAGTTCCTATCTCCTCTAAAAAGTAGCTTGAAGATGGACATATCCAACAGCCTTGCTCACATATTACACGAAGAATGAAGAACTGTGGCATTAATTTGATCACAGAGGCACCTATCTATCTATCTATTATAAGGATTGATAACTTGTTGCATTTGCTCAATAGTTTGCAAAATGGTGATGATGCTGTGAAGATTGAACCATTTGCAAGTCTGTGGTCGTTTGGCACGAGTTCTCTTGATCGCATATCACCGTCCTGATTTAAGAGTATTTTCGGCAAGTTTAGTCAGCAAGATAGATAGACTCATTCTGAAAGTAGATAATAATCTTAATCTCATATATTATATGTAGAGACGACAATGATATGAATATAATGACAAATTGCTTTCTTATTCCCAAAGTTACGTTAAGATCATCACTTTCTCAAACGATCATTTTCCAGCTCTTGATAAGAAAATTTAGGATATATGCTAATTACTTTGTACGCTAAATATTTAAGAAGCATTAATAATTGTGATAGATCTTACTCTCGAGGACGAGATGCCCAAAGGGAACTAAGTGCTCGTAGTCGTCCATAATACTCTCCGATCACCAGAAAACACCGCGCAGCTTGTCGTACTGTCAATATATGTCGTAGTCGGTGAAGGGTTTGCTGCCTTAGATTATCAGCCTAAAATCCAAAAACACATAAAAGTAAATTAATCCCACAAAATCATGCTCAGCGAAAGAATACAGAAATTACGTTAAAGTAAAAATAATGATAATTAATAAACCTCAACCACCATAGAGGAACTGACATTTGTCCTCAATGTGAAGACATTTCCACACATTTCAGAAGAGTTGAAACTGTAAGAACTTGTCTTATTCATTGATTTAAACAATTCCAATCATACACTTGATTAAAAAAATTAAATATTCTCCAATTGATAGGTCTTGCTAGGGTTTTCATTTCAACATACATCATTTTCAAGCCACCTTTTGATAGAAACCCTTTTAGATGAAAAACCCACATCAATGTTCATAGTATTCAACTATTGCAATGGACTTCTTAGCATCAAAGCAATAAATATTCACCACAAATTAAATTAATTACAGGCCAGAAATTAATTCTCCAAGATATATATATATATATCCTACACCTGGCAACTGGGCGATGAAGATGATCGACCATTTTGTATATCATGTCTCAGAATTGACCAAGACGTGATAAGGATGGCCCATCGATAAATAATCCATGGTCAAACATAATATTCATGATGATCAAGACCCTTTAGGATAGATATTTATTCCAATCAACATCAAGGAGGTTGAGAATTAATATAAAGCACAATGCACATGCATGTAGCTAATAATTCATAGATAAACAAATTAATCCACACAAAAGTCAAATAACATGTTAAAATCAAACTGATGTAAGAAAAGAGTAAGCCTTTTGGCTCCTTATATCCTCTATTTGTTATATAGAATTGCGGCGCAAAACAAGAAGGCATTTAACAAAACAATAACATTTTATCCATGAATAATTGTGAAAATATAAAAAAAAAAACAAAAACAAAAATTACAATTTATTTATTAAGTTTTGTATCATGAATAATAGATAGAATTAATTACATTTTCGCTATATATATATATATATATATATATGTAGAAAATATGATATAATATAAAATGGAAAAATGATGCAAGCAAATCCTGAAAACATTTATCCCAACTACTTCAATGATGAATAGTATTGACATGTGGATAGGTCAATATACAATCTAGAAACTTGAATAATTGCAAGGGTCTAATCTTGACAATTGACATACAATCAAGATTTACCTACTATATATGCAATAAATTAGGACACCAATAAATAAAATGATGAAGCTTTTTTGATAAATCACCTGAGAAAGACATATCGTTGTCACCTTAGCCCTCATTTCAGCCTTAACACTAGGGTCATATAGATGATCTCATTTTCCAAAAGTACTAACCTTAACTTGGAAACAAAGTCCTCTATCTCGAAATTGACACGTTCTACATGTGAAATTGTACTTTATATATATGATTTCAGGGTTTGTCACGTTACCAAATGGTAATGTTAATGGGTTGATGATAATGGAATGTACCCATAACATAGTATATAATCAATGTAGACATATGGGTTTTACCTGACGAACGAAGCCTTCAAGATTTGCGAGCTTGCCCAAAGCAACAACCATTTGTTGCATACCGTCAATGGCAGGACCACCGGCAATGGTTTCAATAAGAGACTGTTGGAGCTGTTCCAGGCCCTGGGAGAGAGCCTCTTCTGCCTGCTGTGAGGAGTGCTGGAGGCTGTAAATACCCATCACTTGCTGTTCTGTTAATGGGTCCAATTGTGATATTAACATCTGATTCACAATCCCAAAAAAGAAAAATAGTAAGTTACGAGGTAAAAAAAAGGTTCGAAAATGTAAGAGGACAATGTGAAACTTCCAAATAAATCCAAGAAGAAAACTCTTCCTTTTTAAGGATTTGTTCAACTAACCTAACCTCCTTGGCAATTTCACTTTTCCAACATAAATAAAATTACTAAATTACCCTTATATCTTCACATTTAGAGTCACTATGGCACAATGCACTTTAATGTTCAGTTCAAACCTTGATGAGGTCAGAGGGTTTAAAACCGCCCATCCAGAGGAAGCAACGCTCAGCTGCGGTTGTCCACATTCCAGTAGTCAAGTGCAACACATCAGATTTTGCGGCGACACCCTTTAGCCGGAAAATTTCATCATAATGTGAAATGTATCCATCGACAATAATCCGAAGATCACCATCAGATAAATGTGCATTCAATCCAGCTCGGAGCTCTGACATGTGCCGGAGATCATCCTCTAACCATCTTGCATATTCCATGTCAAACATTGCAGCCGCTGAACATACGAAAATAATTGGAAAAGGAAGGATAACAATATATTAACATGATCTGATCTGGGTTTGGTACAAATTGGTCTAGAAAAATAAATAGGACGTGACCAAGTGACACATAGAACATATTATAGATATGTTACAAGATAAAAAAAGTAGCACAAAAAAATTAAAAATGTGCATGTTAATTTATTCTGTAAAAGTGGAAAAGTTGGTACAATGGATCAATAGTGCATTGGTTTACCATGTAGAGTGCCTTTTCTTGTTTGGAAAAGGGCAAACAATCTTAATGATACATGATACTATAGTCAAAATATAAATGGGGAAAAATTTTCTTATTGGATTGATTAACTACAATCAATCTTGTGATAAATATTGTCTATAGCTTAAGCATTTGAAACAAGAATAAGGACAAAGAAATTAGTCAAATCTAGAAAAAGTCAGACAAATGGAAATCTAATTTGTGCCAAACTTGACTAAAGTTTTTTTTTTAAGTCAATATTCAACTTGAGAAATCAGCAACCAGGGGCAGGCAACAGTATTATCACACATTTTCTCGGAGGACAAACAAACATTTAAAATAATATTATTTTAGCCTTGAGTGGCCCACCTTGTTTATTCTTCATGAATGGCTTATAAATTAAAGGTGTTATGGAAAACAACTAAAACATAATTTTAATAAAACTTACCAGAGCTAATGTTTCCAGCTGTAGCACTACACCCTCCCAAAAACAGTCCCTAAAAATTAGTAAACAGTGAAACACAGAAAACCAAGAATTAGTAATTGATTAATGATCAAAATTTTAAGTTTAATTAGATTTTTTTTTTTTTTTTTCAACAGAAGTAAAACCTGAGAGCGTGCTCTTTGAAGCTCTTGTTCTAATTGAGTCAGCTTTATCCTACTAGATTCTAGCTGCTGCACATAAGCCTGTTCATGAAAAGACAAATAAACATTATAACATATAAATAGATTATAAACATTATATATTATTGAAGGGTGAGTTTAAATATATGTCACGCCTTTTTTCTTAGACGGCTCTTTCTTGCTGCTTCTCTATTCTGGGCTAAACGTCTCAATGTCTGAAACCAATTAGCTCAAAGTTGTAAGGACAATTAGTGTGCAAAAAAATAAAATAAAATAAAAAATTTTAAAAAAAAAAGGCTGAAATTTTAAAGAAACAATGAATGTAGATAGGTTTGACCCACCAAAAAAAAAAAAAAAAAGGTGAGCTTTTTAAAGTACCTTAGCATCTTGTGGTTTGTCTGAGGTTGAACCAGCACCCTTTCTCTGCAGCATTCAGAATAATATTATAAAATAATATATAGAAATGTTTAATCTAAAATGGGAATAACAAGTATCAGTTAAACTAGGGAAGAAAAAGACTAATGAAATTGAGATCTATTTTTATGAAACACTTCAGTTGTCTTTAAAGAAATCGAAGGATTAGAGACAAAATGTAATGGTTCGAGTTAGCCTTAGGGGTTCTAGTTTAACAGATACCTAAGAGTGAGAGTGATGTAAGTTCTGATATTGAAACAGGTAATTATGGCAAATCATACACATAGCAGAAAAGCCGAAAAAAAATCATAATTATCTGCCATTCTTTTAGGTGGTTTGTGTGATAATGGTTTAAAGTTCCAAAACTGATTTTAAACTTCAGGTTTATCTGGTAGTTATAGGGATTGGGTAAAGAAAAGGGATTATAATAATAGAAACTGCAGTAAAAGAAAACTGTAGAGATTTTCTCTCTTTGTTTTTTTATTGTGTACAACTCCCAACTTCTCTCTCTCCATGTCAGACATTGATCAGAAAATCCTTGAAAGAGTGGAAAAACTATGCTGTGTTTGATTTTCTGATGGTTGTTGGGATCAGTGTTTTGTTTCTTTTGAAGAAGATATGCAAAGGGAAAAATAAATCAAAACAGTAATAATAACAATAAAGATACCAACTTTTCCTGAGTTTTTGGGATATGGGCAAGAAAGGGAGAAGTTGAAGATTAATTATTGAGCATAATACTAGTTTAGTTTAAGGACCTTTTCTTGGGGTTGTTTGGCAGCTGATTGATTCTGTGATGGCCCTGTTCTTGAAGTATCGTTTGACATCTCTACTTGTTGTTGATGTTGAAGCCTGAGTTGATCTTGTTCAAAAGCCTGATGATCTGAAGAAGATGCCTTTTTACTAATAGGAGATTCTGGCTCTAGCTGAGTCTCAGCCTTGCTTGAAAGAGTGTTCAGTGCTGATCCTGAGTCTGTACTCTCCCCACCTGACTTTGAACTTCCCTGGAGTATTAATTGACTTCATCAGCAAAAACTCTCAAATGGGTATCAAAGAATAATCAAAATCAACTTGGTAAGCTTATTTTAAAACGGGGATTGAACATTCATCCCCATTAAAATGCTGTACTTTTCAAGCAATGTTTGTTTATGTTGTACTCCTCATGTTAAAAGAAATGGTCAAACATAAAAAAAGAAAGCTGAGAACCTACTCTCGGGGTTTGCTGGAACCTCATTGGCCAAGAAGGGAACATCTCCAGAGTCGCTGCTGGTCTTCCTGCTGCTGTGAATAAAGCTGCAAAGAATCACAAAGGCAAAATCTCAAGAGGATCAACCTAAATCAAAGTCTTAAAAAGATTTTCAAAACACACAATATCGAAGGACCTAATTTCCCTTTTCTTTTTTGCAGTTATGGAGTTAGTAAAATCTGATAATGAGACAGGTCAAGTTTCTATGTTTGTAGCGTCACACCATTCAAGTCTCTTGCCTCAAAATCATTACTCTATTGGAAATGGTAAGCTCTCTACTGTACCCCTCTTTAGACAAATTCAAAAACCTTTCTTTCTTTCTCTCTCTCTCTCACTTTTTTTTTCTCTCTCTCGGTGCTTTTAGGCAGTTGGTTATGTTTATCAAACGTCACAAAAGGAGGATTGATAATAGAGAGAGAGATAGGTAGGATATCATACGTGCTTTTGCTTCATCATTTCTAATCTTAACTCCGTGCAGCACAATTGCTTCTTCCAGCTCTCCAAAATCAAAAGCAGATCCTTCTTGATTACTGAGACACAAGTTTTAAACAAAAAATTAACATGAAAAGAAATCAAAAGCTTCAAAACAAAGGAACTTAACTCATGTAGAAATCAAAAGAAAAAATAGACTTGAAAGCTAAAGAGCGTACATGAAACTGGTATGAGTATTCATTCCATGAAGAGCTGCGGCGTAAGGGACATGGTGATGGTGATGGTGATTTGAAGGACCTGAGTCAGACAAACTCGTTTCTCCAATTGTGTGACTCGCCATGCAGGAGTTTGTTTTCAGACCATTATCATCTTTCTTGAAGAAGAAATTGGAAACAAAAATACACCGCAGAAAAAGACACTGAAACAAGCAAAAAAGAAATGGTTTTGCTGGACTGAATAAGAAGAAGAGATATCAGCAAACTAGAAATCATATGTATTAATTCATTTACCTGAGTAGAGGAAGCTAGAAAGCTCACAAGTGAGAGAGAAAGAAGGAGAAAATATGAAAGCTTTCTTGTCAAAGTAAATATTTTTAAGTAGAAACAAGAAGAAGGAGCAATCTTTTTCTCAGATATAAATCATCTCATCCGGGCAACTTTTGATCTTTCTTGGATGTCTCTATCCCAAAGCTTTCTCTTCACTACTTCTCTGTGAAGAAACCTGTTTTTAAGAAGACTAGTTTAATTGCTTTATATTTAACACACACTACTTTTGTGTAGTAAAAATTTTTATCAGAAAATTGAAACTGATGAGAGTACAACAAAATCTTGTCCTTGCAGGCAGACAGGCCCTCTGGGACCTGGGTTGTGTCTTGGTGTGGCTTTTGGAAAATCAGAAAATAGAAATTGTACAAAAAGAGGGGTGGGGTCTTTTTGCAGGAACCCACTAGAACCACTGACTCCTACTCCACACTCTCTCTCTCTCTCTTGTAACCGCCTGTGTTTTGTGATTGGTTCCTTTAATGGAGATGCAGGTACTTATTACAGAAGAAATGTTTATAAAATAAGTTTTTTAATTCATAAAATCAATTAATTCAACATTGAATATAAGATGAGACAAGGGTTTCTTCACAAAAGTTAGTAAGGAAAAAAGAAAGTTTTTCATAAAAAGATATTGTTAGGGTTAATTTTATCTTTTGACAAGTTGAGATATTATTTTATTTAAAATATTTTTTATTTTATTTAATTAATTTTTATTTCAACCAAAACATTATAATAAGCAAAACCCACTTGAATAAATTAATCTTTGTTAATGAGATGGATTTGTTTGGTATTATCCCCTTTGTTGATGGGTCAACATCCATTCCCTGTCATCACCTAAAACCATGCCACATCAAGATTCTTTTCTATTAATAGAAATTTTCTTTCTTTCACCTTTCACCTTAATTACCCAAATTCACTGCCTCTTTAGTCTTTACCCTCTTCTTCATTGCCATTTTTAAGTGACCTTTGGATCATTTGCCCCCCTCCCTCACCCATAAAACTGCCCTTAATCCTTTTCTTTCAGTCACTTACCCAAAACATAAACTAATATAAACCAAAAAGGGTCATCTATCGTACCAAAAGATCAACCATAATTCAAATTAAACCATTATAGTTAAAAGGGTATTAATTTATGTCCATGGACAGCATTATTGAGGGGATATAAAGAATTAAAGAGGGAAAGAGAGAGATTTAGGTAATGGACCCATAATCTCCTTCAAAAAAGAGGTGGAAGCACATATATTAATGTTGTGCTCATCTACTACTTTTTGTTGGTAATATGCCTTCTACCAATTATTCCTCTATTATTCCAATCATTGGCTTTAAAAACAATAGGGATTTTTGGCTTAAATAGAGCACCAGAAGTTCATGGATTAGGTAAATTCTATATTTTATCTATTTTTAATTTGGTTCCCAATGAACCTTACAAAACAACATCTTCCTATGGATGCTAGCTTTTTTATTTTAGATTTTATGAATCTTTGCATTCTTCAAACTGTAGTTTTTTATACTTAGCTTTACTTATATGCCTGTAGAAAGGTGATTGGTCTAGATCAAATCCTTGTACTAATTATGCCTCTGCAAGATTTTGTTAAACTACATTGATTTAGTCATTGCCTGTAATTTAAGCATGGAATTAATTCCATATATATTCAACTATTTCTTTATATTATGTGCTTGCTTGAACTAGACCCTGTTGCTTTTTATTCTAAATTAAAATCATTACTACAATGGAAACACATTACATTATTGGAATCATAAATCTAACAATATTATTATTAGCTTAAAACACCACCTGGGTTCTTCAAGATGAATCGCAAATTTAGCAGGAGAATTAAGATCAATTATAGGAGGTTGGCAATGATCAGCAATGGACCCCAAATGACAGTGTGAAATTAAACAGAATTAAAACTCTTATTCTCTTAAGATTGAGCATATTTTTTAGTTAATAGCATGGATGCATTGAACCTTTTGTCTTCAACTTAAATAAATTAGTCAAAATCTTGCAGATAAACTGCCAAATTGGAAGAACTGTCAGGGGCCAAATGAATCCCAAATCTTGTACCTGTCTGCTGTTTGATTTATAGTTTCATTACTGAAACTTTGGTTTGGCCACCACAAATTTTGGTTGTTTAATTTGGTTGACTATTTTAAAAGCCAGCTATACAAATAGAAGTAGGTACTGACTTTAAAACAAAGTTCATGCACATAGTACATCTTTCTTTTCCAGGCATACAAAATTGTATAACTTACTATTCCCGGGCGGTTGAGAAAAATTAAATTGATTCATCTCATAATGCCAAACACAACAATTTCATTTTGACATTCGATGCATAAGTTGATTCTATTACTATTTGACTTGTTAATTTAAGATAGGGAATGTTTATATCAATATTTTAATAATCAATGCCGGGCTAAATCCCGCAAAGTGGCCGGGTCCTGGGTTAACCGGTTCAACCAGTTTGACCACTAGGTCAAACTAGTGACTTGTCAAATAAAAAAAAATTTCAAAATTTTTGTACCAGCACACATTAGCATAGTGGCTGTTTTCGATGCATGTTAGCACTTGTCGACGCCGGCATTTTTTCCCCTTTTTTTGACTGTTTTCTCACCCAAAATCACCGTCGTCACCACCATTGGAACCCCTACCTCTTCTCTTCAAAATCATGCCCTTTATCCCCTCTCATCATTTGCTGATTGCCAGCCACGACAACGGCGTCAATCAACTTTCACTTGTCAGTTTTCGGTTGTTTCGAGCGATGACAACTCCAAACTACCACCACCCATAGACTCCCCGGCTACTCCCCTACAAAACCCCCAAAGTTCCCAAGCCATTCCACCTACCAATTGTTGGCAATCAGAAGCTCAGGTTTCGCCATATCTTGGCAAAATTCTGGCAATTCCGATGACTAAAACTTAATCGGACACCACCTCCTGACTCATTGTAATACACCCTTTAAAACCCCCTAACCCCGATTCATGTTTGCCCGCCAAACGTCGACCGAAAGTCATCGTGATCTGAATTTTGATTCACCCGATTTTTCCCCAAAACTGATACCCGTGGTTTGCTACAATGACACCGGTCCAACCGCAGGTCATAGCAGGTGAACTCACCCTTGATTTTAAGGTCGGACTGGCCCGACTCTTTGGCCAGTTCTCAGTTGAACCAGTTAAACCTACGGGTGGGCAGGTCCGAGTACCCACCCTTTTTCGAAGGAATCAGAACCAGAACTAGAACCGACCGATTCCTGAAAAATGAAATGGTTCCCGTTCCTAGTACTTGATAAAATTACGAATGGTCTATATTTGTTTCAAAAATGACAAATAAACCCTTAAAAAGTTACAAATACACCCCCATCTCACAACGAATTTTGACCATTGGATTATAACTCATGTACCAATCACTTTGGAAAAGGTTTTTTTATAAGCTAAAACCCTAAATGCCGCTTGCAAACAAACTAAGCCAAGTTCTCTTCTTTCTTCTCTTATCTTCTTCTTCCCCACACAAAACCCTAGTCAAGGTAGCCCTAAAAGTTACGCCTCTCTATTCCTTTCATCTTCAAACAAAACAAGCCAAGTTCTCTCCTCTCTTCTCTTATCTTCTTCTTCCTCCCACAAAACCCTAGCCAAGAGAAAACAAAGAACACCCTATTTTAGATCTCTTTTCTTCTCTTATCTTTTTCTCCTCCTCCTTTTTTGCATTTATTAAAAGAGGATTTGTGTCGAATTTTAAAAAATAGCGAGAAGAATTTGAACATCTAGCCAAATTGACTTTTTTTATGCTTTTCTTTAATTTTTGTATGAATAATAAAGATTTTTTATGCCAAATTGATTTTTGTATGAAAAATGAAGATTTGGGCTTCTGTCAATATTAATGTTAAATGGCGGAATTAATTGGATTTGGATTTCATGTTTTTTCCTTCTTCTTTTTTTTTTTTTTTTTTTTTTTTTTTTTTTTTTTTTTTTGTGTGTGTGTGTGTGTGTGTGGTGTGTTCAATTCGATGAGAGAAAATTGAAGAAAAAAAATAGAGTTATTTTTATATAAAAATTTGGTTTTTGTGTTGTGTTCAATATAGGTGATGAGAAGAAAATGAATAGAAAAATAAAGTTGTTTTTACAAGAATGGTGAATTAATTTTAACAAGAAGGTAAGACATCAATTAAATTCAGTTGTGAATAAAACAAATGAAAGAAGAGAAAATTCCAACAGAAATAAGGTAAAACTTTAATTGAATCGTAAAATTTTAGAATGGTCCTTATATTTTTCTAACATTTTAATTTTGTCTCAATTCCAGGGTTCGGTTTTGGTTCCTGAGGTGGTGAAACCGGAACTGAACCCGCACAGTGTCAACTCCAGGTTTTCAAAATCAGAACCGACCCTGTGGCAACCGATTCCGGGTAGGAACCGAAACCGAAACCCAAGTACCCATCGGTTCCAATTCTACCCTATTTTTTCGCCCACCCCTAATTAAACCAACCGGGTCGGGCCAAGTTTTAAAACATTGGATGATATCGGCTTTGTTTGGTTCAAAATTTAGGGGTTTTGGGAAAAATTTTTTTTAAAAAGTTAAAAAAAAATTGAATTTGGCAGATATTACGATGTAGGATTTATAAATTAATAAAATGCCTCCTATGCTTGTTTTTTTACAAAATACCCGCTATAATAAAACATTAAAAGTTAACAAAAATACCCCCAACCCACCCTCAAATACGGAAAGTCGGCCACCACCACCAGAGGGTGGTCGGAGTCGCCTTATCGGCGCATGACCGGCTGGATCTTGCCGGTCATGCGCCGATATAGCCTTTTCTGGCCAGATCCACGGTAGATCTGGCCGGCAAAGGCCAGATCAATGACGACCAGATCTGGCCATATTTGCTCTCAACGACGGCCAACAAACAGTCGTCATTGATGGTCAACGACGACCGTTTGTTGGCCGTCGTGACCGACTGTTACGGCCAAAGATCTGGCCGTCAAAGGCCAGATCTTTGGCCTTAGATCTGGCCAGATCCACCGTGGATCTTGCCGGAAAAGGCTAGATCGACGCACTACCGGCTAGATTCAGCCGGTAGTGTGCCATCCTACCAGATTCCAATCATTTTCTGACGGTGGTGGCCGGAATCTGGTAAATATGGATTGTTGGGGTGTTTTTGTAATTTTTAAAAAAATATTTAGGGGTATTTAATTAAATTAACAAATTTAGAGAGTTTAAAAAAATTGAATAATATTGAAAATAGTATTCCCAAAAATCAGAGTTTTTGGGTATTTTACTGTTTAACTTTTTTGGAAATACTAAAAGTAGTATTCCCAATTGGCAACCAAAAGAAGCCATCAATATCTTAAAAAAATGAACAAATGTTCGATCATTTGTTTAACAAAAACTGAGAGGACGCCATGAAAGGGATAATTCCACAACCATGCTCAAGTATATGGCGACATAAACAATCCTAGAATAAGTGAAGCTCTCAAGAAATCAAGTCACCACTCACCAGAAGAACTCCAACACCCACAGAGCTATATATACCTATATATGGTTAGTTAACAACCAAACGGTAGATCCTGCACAACAGTAAAGTGCCATGTGATATAAAGTTCATCAGCATATTTAGGATGAGTTTCACGATGAATAAAATGGAGGATCATATTACCTTACAGGGGATGGCTTAAAGATGATGCAGATATTATACTGTCACAAGGGTAATTTTATGGGTTCAACCATGATACGGCAACAACGTTGCTCCAAAATTACGACAAAACACGTATAACTAATTACAAAAATGCTAATTTACAAATCAAAATGTCAACACAAGTTTCCAAAATATCAGTATGTCACTGGTGTAGTGAATAAATACCAGTAATATCGGTAGACACCAACATTGAAATTCTTTATTAATCTATCACAACATATTTAAAGCAAGTTCAAAATCTTAAGTAAAAGAATGAAGAGATAATTTTATATAGGAAAAGGCAAAGCAACAAGTAAACATGCCACTGCTGACATTCCACAAGGAAAACAAAAATACATTTATGAAAATAAAAAGGGCAGATTGTTCAGGCTACCTATGCCAGAAATATTTACCTCTCTGATCCGCAAAGTGACAAATATCTGCAAATTGTTCTGTACACACCCATTTCTATTTACCAAGTCAATGGTTTTAAAGCAACATAGAGCAAATGAGCATCAAGAGGATTAGGCATCTCTCTTAACCTCAAAACAAGAAATAATTTATACCCAGCAAGGAAGCATTGAAGATTGCTTCTATATGTTAAGCAAACCTAATAAAAACAGCAGGTTTCCATGTGATACATAATAAAAACAGTGTGCAGGCCCTTGGACATTTTGTACCGAAAACAACAGGGCATTTCCTAGAAAGTACTGACCAATCTTTCTCCATGTAATTGAAGATTCCAAGACTTCTGACGAAAGGAAAACTTTAATAAGAAAAAAAAAAAAAAAGAATCAGAATACCTGTTGCCTGATAAAATTAATTACTCAAGTAAACTCCAGATATTCTATGGAAATAAATCTCTTGCGGCTGCTACAAAAATTAAAAACAGAGCCTGCGAATGATGTTCTAATTCAAAAAGTCCATTACAATTGGACCCCTTGGAATAACAGAATCCTATCTTGAAAAGCAAAAGCAAAACAAATAGCAACGTAGCTACTCATAATAGAGAAAGCAAAAGCAAAAGCAAACTTAAGGTTTAGGTTGTAAAAATGCTTAATATTATATAAACACTAGCTTGACCGAGTAAATATCATGTCCATGTACAGCCATTGCATTAATTAAAATATTAAAACAATATATATGTCTGTTGTCATGGTTGTGTTTAATCCATGTTACTTGCACATGACTTTGGAGTCAAATAATTACTTAATCAACTGGACAGTGACCAAAGCATATAGCAATAAATTCCATTCTATGATATCTTCATCTTAGCATAACAAAAACTAAGAGCTTTTGAATCAAGAGGGCACAAAGTACAAGGAACAATGAAATGAACCTGGATATAGAACATCAACATTCTATATCTATGTCATTTTCATTCTAAGTTCACGACAAATAAAAGCTATTGAGACTTGTATTTGATTGCAATGATCAGATAGGTATTGCTCCAGCAGCTAAATGCAAAAGAAACAAAAATAATACTTGTTTATGATCTTCTTAAGGTCAAGAACTGTACAACAATTTGACTCAAAATTGAAGAACTTGATGGATTATAAAAAAAGAAACTCACCATTCCAAAACAGAAGGTCTGTCATCAGAGCCACAAGCAGTACCTCAAAAGTAAAGTAGCAACGTTCTACTTGACACATATATAGGTTGCTAAGAAGATCTAAAAGCATGTCTAAAATTGTGAATACCATGTTGGAAGGCTTTGACCATGATCAAAGTCCCTCTAACAGAGACTTAATGGAAAGAAAAGAACATGGAAAGTGAGAGAGTTAACTCATTTGGATTTAGAAGAACTAGGACTCTTAAGAATCCCAAATTTCTGACCACGTTATCCCCTTTTATATTATCAAATGCATGTCCTAGCCGGTTTAAGATCATGATAAGAGGCATAAATAATGACTATTTGCAATAAACGTTTTCCCTATATATTTGTTCAATTAAAGATTGTGCTGGCTAAGCAAGATGTCAGGCAAAGGCCAACTGTTCTAATATTGCCTAGATTTCTATGCCAAATTGATCTTAATCTTTGTAGACAAAGAAACAAGGAGTTGGATGGTGACACTAAAATCTAAAAGCCTTACCTGGAAAATATTTAACTTAAGACAACCAAAAAAAAAAAAAATCATGGGAAGAAGAAAACTGTACCTGCTGGCTTCAGAAGGTCTTATGCTATATAGTTTTAGTCTCCACCATGTACTAATTCAAAAACACAATAGAGAGAATGACGTAAAGAAACCCTCACTCATCAAAACATTTAATTGAAAAATCATTAATAACCCCACTAAGAGATTAGTTTTTTACTGACACCAGGAATTTTGGAAAACTATTAATAACCCACCCTAACCAGGAAATTTTTTGGTAAAAATTATTAAAATCCCCTAACAATCATTCAAAAAAACTTGAAAGGGGTGTTATTGATGGTTTTTGAAACCACTAAGGTTCAACGAAAAAAGTTGATCTCTCAAGAAGGTTCATAATAATTCCCCAATTTAAAATTAACTATAATTTCTAGAAGTTATTGTCATAGTGTGTCAAACTAATATCAATTTCAGAAGTCAAGCATACCTCATTGATAATCAAGTTGAAATGAGGGATGAAGGGGAAACAAAAAGTACTGAAATTGAAAACAAATACATACCTTAGTCCATAATATAATACATGTAGGTGGAGAACTTGAACATAGGCAATCAATAATCAGTACAATATCATACTTACTCAGATATGAGCATCAGAATTTTAACTCATTTGAGTTATATCCTCCCACTGTAGGGTTCTTTAAATTTGGCAAGCACTTCATTATTTCCTTCTCATTCATCTCATGCGGAATCGATGTTTTTTTTTTTTTTGCACAGTCACCAACCAAAGAAAAAGAAAACATGCATGCACACAAGCATAGGATTCTTTTGCGCTGGTATCTAAGATTCAATGACCTTTAATCATAATGTCAAAAGTGGAATAAAGTCTCTTAAATTAAAAATATATTAATAAGGCTTAGTTTCTACGTCTGGGAAGCTAAAATAGGCATATAACAAAATCCCACACAATATTTCGATAATACTTTCTTCTATGGATTAACTTTTTTAAATCATATCATTGAAGCCGATTATGCATTCTTGAGTAAGCTTCTAAGGGAATTACACAATGCTAAAAATATACGTGGGATACGGTATGCAGTTTTGATAAGTGGAATGAACAGCACACCATTGCTTCACCCCATATTTCCATTAATACAAGCCATGACAATACGGAAGCAAAGATATTTAATCCTTCAGTTCTCTGTTCTTTCTGAAGGATGAAAAGTACAAATGCACTGCAAACAATTAAAGCACAAAAGCAAGAATTGATGTCAGATGTCAGTCAATTCTAATTCATTTTCTGTTCCAGCGGAAATCTTTTTTAATCCTGAAAGAAATTATGTTGATAACAACACTAAACAAAACTGTGACATTAAAATGATCAATCATACAAATGTAATTTTTATCTTTATCGTCTTCTGATAAAGTCTCCCTGTTTCCATCAATTTACCAACTGGGTCAGAAAGGTCACTGGAATGTAGACTCCTGGTAAAACTAACAAGAAGAAAATTCTTAAGAGGACTGACAAAAATAAAAGTTTCCAACAACCAAAAATAGAACCATGGAAAGGAAACTCTAAAGATAGCCAAATGCAGTATTCAGCCAATAGAATCAGATCCTTTGGAAACTTCATTAAGCTTCTAATTTACAATCTCCAGTAACTCTCTCTCTCTCAAGTCTACATATATTCTTAAAGATTGCATGGTTCTCTGCATTAAAAGAAAACTTACTGAAACTATTGATTTTTATTGATAAGATACATAAATTAATGATTAAGATTCCGATAACAAATAAATTTAACTTTTTCAGGCTTCATAGGGCATAACCTCAATAGTGTCTTATAGTTTTACAATTGCATGTTTATTTCTTGCTCTTTTACAATTTGCACTTTAAGGGATAAGAATCTTATATCCCCCTTACTATATGTGTCTTTTCATTTTTTTATTAGCAAAATTCTCTCGCACCACCAAGGTTCATTTCAACAAATTTTACTTGGTAATTACAAGTAAGATTTTTACAGACAAAATTTACTCAGTAATGAGGAGTACAAATTTTACTAAAAAGACTGGTTTAGCCCCATCTAACAAATAGCCATCATGAAAGAACTTATACAATAACTATTAAAACTCAAGATCTAAGGCTGCATTATCTGTGACTACCACAAATCCTCAAAGGCAAAGATGTATGTGAGCCAAAGTGAGAGCAACATAGTTTTAAATACTGTAGTACACAAGAAGCATGCACATAGCAATTAAGTAAAATAGCATGAACTTGAGCATAAAATATATTTCATTCAATCAAGTAATGAAATTTTCAACCAAATGAAAGAGAATTCAACTATCATCAAATGAAAGAGACTTCAACTATCATTTATGGACAGACAAAAAGGATGCTCAGGCTACTTACCTGCACATGTGATCATACAATTCATAATTATATAACAAACTTGAATTTTTTACCAAAGCAATTTAGTGAGCTTTCACTCATACTCAAACTGCACCTCTACATGCAAATATTTCCTCATGAGCTGAACAATTGATGAAGTGAAAGTGCCCAACAACAGACATTCTTCATGGGTTTTTATCTCTGAAACAACACCAAAAATGACAATCCTTTTAAGATTTGGGCATCGTTTTAAAAGCCCCTCAACCCAATGTGAGAAGAGATCATTAATGACAATCCATCCAAGCTCCAATACAACCACATTCTCAAAATTAGAAGACCCTTGCAGGCCATAGTGAATAACTCCATCTCTCAAGTCATAACTCAACGAAAGATGGGTCAGCTGTGGAAAACAAACAGCAATTGTTTCCAAATCTACAATTTCGTCCTCATCAAATACAACATCCCAAAGACGAAGCTTCTTCAATTTTGATGATCTTGAGATCATCTGGTAGAATTTTGGCCAAAAAATTGTGAAGTTGCTGATATCTACAATCTCAAGATTATCAACAGTCTCACCAATATCAATATGTATAACGCTGACATCATCAATCTTGAAATGCTTTAAAGTCCCCTTGCCAATGAGTTCAAAAAGTTCAAGAGCACAATCTTTCAAGTGCAAACGCTCAATACTATCAGCCTCCAATATAAACTTGTCCAAACTAATTGCTTCAACATAAAAATTCTTCAGTGTCAGACTGCTCAGTTCAACTTTCACTTGGGCATCTGACATTGCAATCTCTGGATTGACAAGTTCCAAGGTCTCAATATTCTGACATGCCATGAGCATAAGACTCAAATCCATCGCTGAAATAGCAACATGACTCAAAGAGAGAGATTTCAAACAAGGAAATCTCTGAAAATTAGGTTCCACCCCTGTGATTGAATTGTGGGCCAAAGACAACACTTCCAGTTTTTGTCTCCCACAGATTTCAAGAATATTAACATTCGGAGTGGTCCGGACATTATAATATAACCTGCGCAATGTTTCCCTAGTATACATGAGCCATGCAATAACAGTCGACGCAGAGAACTCATCAACATCATCCATCAAAATTGATAGGCCTTGCAATCCACTGGTCTGGAATATTGTTTGTGTTATCAGGATTTCCAGTCGATTTGTTGTCAAATCATGATACACAGGCCAATCACTGGAATTGAACGAGAGTGTGAGGAGATGTTTGCGGCAAGCCTCCCGCCACTTCTTACATGTTGCAGAGGCTATCACCACATCTCGTGCACCTCCAAGCCGAGACAAAATATTGCCAATGACTTCAACAGGAAGGTGCTCCATCATCAAAACGAACAACCAAACAATCTCAAACCCACCAAATGGATTTCCCACCACAATGTCAATGAACTTGATATACTTTATTCTTAGAGAGCAAACTAAAACTTTACAAAGATCCGGCCAAATCCGAGAAGAACAAGAGAAAATCTACTAAATAAAAATAAAAAATTCAATTAGATCACCAAAATAAATCAGCAAGGCCACTAAAATTCAATAAGCAAAATTTAGGAATTCAATTGGTTCTGAGTGTTATACTAAAATCGGAAACAAGAATCTATACAAATAAAGCATAAAAACAAAAATGGGTAATATGGGTATGAACAAAAATTGAAGCAATCATAAAAAAGAAAAAGAAACTAAAATTAGAAATAAAACAAGCAAAAGGGTCATCTGAGATCTCACCAGAAATGACACAGAGGGGGTTGATCGAAGGCGAGAGATCCTCCAACGTGGATACTAACAAAGTGATAAATCAATATGGATTTGAATTCAACGGGTACAGTGCGTTAGTACTCAATACTAAATCGAAAATCTCCATGAAACAGTAACAGTCCTATCGCTCTCAGTGCGTTTGGCAAGAGAGTTAATGCAGCAACCAATCAATTCATTCATTCACTCACTGCCATCTTTTTTTTCACACTGTAAACTCCTCTCTCACTTCTTTTCGAGCGCCTACATTTTGTCTTACATTATTATTAGTAGGGCAATTGCCAGAAAACTTATAGACCCCCTATATATTTGAAAAAAACAGAATTACTCTTAATGTTTTGGAAAGTTCTCAACTATCTCCCCTGATGCCTGTAAAATTCCGGTTAAATGTAATGGAACTAATGAATCATATTTGGTACAGTACAACATGATAAAAAGTCTCAAAAAGATTTGACTTAAATGGTAACAAACATTGAAATTTCGAAATTGCATTAAATCATTTCAAATTTCAATATCATTAACAGCGATGTTTAACCCAATAGAAGTTTCTAAGCTGGTAAATGTTTGAAGATTCCGGAGAAAGAAGTAAAAAATTATTTCTTTAATCAATCTTTTAAAGATCATATGGTACTATTAAATTTAAATGAGAATCACTCTATCTTAAATTTGAAATTATTCCTTATTTGAGAGCCTTTATGATATCCATATATAAATTTATTTGCTTTCATAGAATCGCAAATTCAGCCTTTAGCTTAAGGTGACTTTCATTTGGAGCATGTTTGATATAGAATTTAAATAAAACTTAAAAGTAGTTTTAATGTGAAAATTGTTTTTTAAATTTTATATCAAACATGTTTTTAAATATCAAAAATATTAAAATACAACTCAAAAATTTGAATTTTATTTTAGTTTTTGAATCACAAATCAAACATGCCTTTATGTTTTTGACATTTTTGTTTTCAAAAGTGAAATCAAAAATAAAAATAATAAGTTTTTTATGTATTTTTGAAAATGAAAATAATAAAAATGTGTTTGTTATCATTTTCTTATGATAATTGATAAATATGAAATATTGTGGTATATTAGAGAATGAAACATAGAAAAGATTTTTATGAAATATTGTGGTATGATTGATAAATATGAATTTTTTTATGTTTTGCGTGTTTTCAATTTTTTAGTTATTAATGAGATTTTTCGCTCCAAAAACAAAAATAATAAGTGAACAAATATTACACATCTCTCTCTCGTTCCATTTTGACACATACGATTTGTGGTTGTCATGTGGTTAAATTTTATTGGTGATGATGTAAAGAGAGATTAATTATTGTATTGGTATTCCAAATCCAAAGGTAAAAGCATACTTATTTGAGTGACACATATGATAGTTTTTTCTTTTCTTTTCTTTTTTTTTTTTAGCTATAAAATTGCTTTATTTGGAGCTCTAGAATTGCTCTCTCTTGCCACGTTGGATGTGTGGTTTAATGAGATATTTTTAGCTCTAAGATTCATGAATACCCATGCGGGTTGTTCGCCATGTGACACATATTGGAAGCTCTAGAATTGCTCTATTTTGACACATTGAATTGACAAGCCAATCAAATTGATCTATCTTAACACGTTGGATTGATATTTATTGATCAATCTATAATTATTAATTAATTAAAAAAATGGGATCTATATTAATAATAATAATATAGGTGCATTGCATTGGCATTCCAAAGATGTGCATTAATAACAAGTGTACAGGTGTATTTGATTGCTATTACTAATCGTGGTTTAATGACATTGGTCTAGGATTGCTATCTATAATTATATAGGTGCATTGTATTGACATTGGAAAACTTTCTTCGTATTGAAATCGTATTTAATTGTGTTGATATTCGAAAGGTCTAAATAAGGGGTTATAAAAGGGGCTCATGTTCAGTTGTGTATCATCGCAATTTGCTAATTGGTATCAACAATATGTCTGGTCTTTTGTTAATTGTTTATATGTTATTTTAGTTTGTGAAAATAATATGTCTGTTCTTCACGTGCATTTTGATCAATGGTTTTTTATTTATGTATGTTTTTGTTGTTATTTACAGGTCAGAGATTCATGAATTGGCATGGAATAAAGGCAGGATGTCGGATTGATACTGTCAGATGAGTTGTTATTTTGATTTGTTATTTTGAACTGAAAGTATATCTTCTAAGTATTTTAATACGAAACTGTAAGTATGTCTCCCAACTATTTTAACGATTATTGTTAGATTTAATGATTGTTTTTGTTCGGCCAATTTATTTGAATGATTGATTGTGTTATTCCTTCCAAACGGTAAGTGTGTTCCTTGATAATTTTAATATGAATATTAATTAACTTTTGTTGTTTCCATTTTTTAGGTACCAATTTTTATACGAATAAATAATTGTTCCTTAACAATGTTAACATGATGATTGATTACATTTTGTTATGTTTGTTTTCAAGGAAATGAGAATTTGTATTTATTATTTGTTTGGTAGAGTCATTTATTCAGCAATGGAATGTAAAGATTTGTTGGTTGTAGTCAATATACGGTGATTTTGATGTATTCAACTGTATGTGTCCGAATCATCCATGTATTTATTAATACTCAGGCAATATATCAGAGGTGTGCTTTCTGGATCATAATATCTTATGCAATGAATTATAACAAACAAATTGCCAAGCAAATCATGCCGCCCAATTATGGATGACTATTTTTTGCTTCTTTGCTCAGTATGTGTGCATTGCATTGGCATCCAAAATATCTAACCATCTTGACATTCTTATAATGTTTTCTAAGTTGTAGGTTTAACAAAATCGTTACTATCTTTTCCTTTGGTCTTGTGTCAATGAAATATTCCTAAAGTGACCAATATAGGAACAGATGAGATTGTATCAAGGTATCCAAATTCTGATCAAATTCATGGTTTGGCAGTGTTCCTCGAAAAGTTATAACAACTTATAAATGCAACCAATCATATCTTGATAATTGTTCAGCAATGGAATGTAAACCTCAATAATACCTTATGGATAAATTGTGGATCGGTATTTGCTCTATTACCATTCTATAGCCAAATTGATGGTTTGACGGTGAAGTTATCAATCGTAGCAGACTTTGAAGAATCATGATTATGGACAATGGTTAGGCAACATATTCCACACTATTTGTTAGACAATTTTTTAACGATGTCGAACTACAATGTCAATAAAAAATTAAGTGGCTTAACGTCTCTCTAAGTTGGGATCAAGCAAGCTGCCTAATACTTGGTCTGACTATAAAAAATAAGCTGGGACTAACTAATATAGGAATAGATGGAATTGCTTATCTTTCTGATATATCAAGCTATCCAAATTTCGGCCATCCTTAGATCATGGACAAGTATTCAAATTTATGGTTTAGTAGTGTTCCTAGAAAAGTTATAACAAATTATAAACACAATTAATTACATCCTGGTTATGGTTTGGCAATGGCATGTAGACCTCGATGATACCTTTATCTGTCCAAATTCCAAGCATTCTTAAATCATGATATCACAATCAGTATTTACCCTATTACCATTCTATAGCTAAATTGATGGTTTGACAGTGAAGTTATCAATCACAACAGGCTTTGAACACTCATAATTATGGACAATGGTTAGGCAACAGATTCCATACAATATATATATATAGTTGAATACCCATACGGGTTGTTTGCCATGTGGCACATTTTGGAAGCTCTAGAATTGCTCCATTTTGACACATTGGATTGACAAGCCAATCAAATTGCTCTATATTGACATGTTGGATTGTTATTTATTACTCCATCTATAATTATTAATTAGTTAAAAAAATGGGATATGTATTAATAATAATAATACAGGTGTATTGATTGGCATTCCAAAGATGTGCATTAATAACAAGTATACAGGTGCATTGGATTGCTATTACTAATTGTGGTTTAATGACATTTGTCTAGGATTGCTATCTATAATTATATAGGTGCATTGTATTGACATTGGAAAATTTTCTTCGTATTTAGTTGCGTTGGTATTCAGAAGGTCTAAATAAGGGGGAAAAAAGGGGCGCATGTTCAGTTGTGTATCGCTATTTGTTAGCACAATTTTTTAAATATGCCGAACTATAATATTAATACAGAATGAAGTGGCTTAATTTCTCTTTGAGTTTATATCAGCAAATCTGCCAAACTATAATATTAATAAAAAAAATTAAAGTAGTCAATGTCTCTCTGAGTTGAAAATTTCAATATCAGTCTATAAATGATAAAGGCTATGATTTCCATTGTAATAAACCATTTGCTATGCTGTAATTGTACTGTTATGTGATACTTTCAATGTGATATTACTATTAATGGTCAAGATATCAGAATTTTGGTTTAATTATGGGTTAATGCACTTCCTTTTTTATTGATGTGTTTAGAATTATGATGATGTTTGGTATTCTGATGTTTGATGTTGTTCTTAATGTAGTGTTTTTGTTAAAGTATTGATGAAATAAATGGTACTGTTTATGTCACATAATAATATAAGTTTGTATCAAATGCAACTTAAATAAGAATTACAACTGTCCACATAAAAAAATTATAAAAATAAAAAAATCCCAGTATTTATCTGAATGTGACCAATATAGGGATAGATGGAATTGAGTCAAGGCATTCAAATTCCGATTAAATTCATGGTTTACCAGTGTTCCTATAAAAGTTATAGCAAATTATAAACGCAACCAATCATATCGTGATAATGGTTCGGCAATGGAATGTAGACCTCAATGATACCTTATGGATAAATTGTGGATCGTATATTGACTACAACCAATTCGATCTAATATATCAACTGTTTGATGATGTAAAGATTTCGATATCTTGAACAATCATAGTTATGGACAATGGTTAGGCAACAGATTCCATACTATTTATTAGGCAATTTTTTAAAGTTGCCGAACAACAATATCAATAAAAAAATTAAGTGGCTTAACGTCTCTCTAAGTTGGTATCAGGCAAGTTGCCTAATACTTGGTCTGACTATAAAAAATAACCTAGGAGTGACTAACATAGGAACATATGGAATTGTTTATCTTTCTGATATATCGAGCTATCAAAATTTCAGCCATCCTTAAATCATGGATAAGTATTCAAATTCATGGTTTAGCAGTGTTCTTAGAAAAGTTGTTTCAAATTATAAATACAATTAATTGCATCCTGTTTATGGTCCAACAATGGAATGTAGACCTCGATGATACCTTGATCTGTCGAAATTTCAAGCATTCTTAAATCATGATATCACAATCAGTATTTGCCCTATCACCATTTTA